TACAAGGTAGGTCAGGGTCACCGTGGGTAGTACTGAGGGCCTAGGGCCACCACGGGGAGCGTGTGCAGGAGCCAGAGAGAGTGCCGTCTAGACAGAGGGCAGCCTTGCAGCCCTCCCCGTGGCAGGGAAGGAATGAGACTCAGCTCACATCCATTGGAAGCCTCCCAGGAGGAGCAAGGGAGAGGGGCACTCTTTTTTTTTTTTAATAATTGTTTATTTTAAATTTTATTTATTCATTCATTTATCCTAATTTGACCAGAGAGAGACAGAGAGAGAGAAAATGAGAGAAAGCAAGCCACCAGGTCCAGGACTTGAACTGTGGTTGGCCATGTGGGACTGTCCAGCGTCTTAACCACTGTACCACCTGCTGGTTTCCAAGAGGGGCACTCTTAAGAGGTCTCTGGCCCCAAGCCTAAGAAAAGGGTTAAAAGAGACCTACCTTGAAGAGAAAGTGGCCAACTGAAGAGAAGAAAGGACCCACAACAGACCTCTCAGGGAACAGGCAGAGAGGGTCTGAGGCCAGGCCCTGGTGCTGGGGGGTGGTGAGGAGGTGCCCCCAAGGCCAGAGCCAGGGTCCAAGGCTCTTGGAGCATTTATTTATTCATTTATTTATGTAATTTATTTATTTAATTTTTGGGGAGAGGTTTTTGCTGTAGCACCAGACACGCCCCGGGCTCCTCTCCGTCTGGCATAGGGTCTGGCTGATCTTCCAGCCTGGGCAGCTCGTAGCTGGGGGCCACACCTGAACGGGGAGAGAACAGATACTTGTTTTTGTGTCCAGCCTGACCCCCTGGGAGTGGCGGTTCTGCAATAGAGCAACACGAGGCCTTTGGGTAGGTGAGGCCTGGGCCTGCTTGGCCCAGTGTGGAGCTCCAGGACCTTGGACTATGTGTCCAGAGCCAACCTGCCTTTTTTTTTTGAGAGAGAGAGAGAGATTTTTGCCATAGAGAGCATGTGCTTGCCAGACAGAAAGCGAGACATCATCTCCCCTCCACCCACTCAGCGGGGATGGCCACACCACAATCCCTTCTCCATTCTTCTCTCAGATTTTGGGCATGCGCACACATGCATGCTGAGTATTTTAAGCTGCTAGGTCTGGGACTTAAACCATAATCGACTATCTGGGAATCCAGTGACGTAACCATTACACCATCTGCTGGTCCCGACCTACTTACCACGGCACCTGGGTCACACACGGGGCCTGCTTGCGTTTCAAAGGCACACACTCATCTCTGTCCCCTCTGTTCACCCTCCCAAGGTCAAAGGGAAGTGTACCACTGACCACATCTCGGCTGCTGGCCCCTGGCTCAAGTTCCGTGGGCACCTGGACAACATCTCCAACAACCTGCTCATCGGGGCCATCAACATCGAAAACGGCAAGGCCAACTCTGTGCGCAATGCTGTCACCCAGGAGTTTGGCCCTGTCCCTGACACTGCCCGCTACTACAAGGTAGGTCAGGGTCACCGTGGGTAGTACTGAGGGCCTAGGGCCACCACGGGGAGCGTGTGCAGGAGCCAGAGAGAGTGCCGTCTAGACAGAGGGCAGCCTTGCAGCCCTCCCCGTGGCAGGGAAGGAATGAGACTCAGCTCACATCCATTGGAAGCCTCCCAGGAGGAGCAAGGGAGAGGGGCACTCTTTTTTTTTTTTAATAATTGTTTATTTTAAATTTTATTTATTCATTCATTTATCCTAATTTGACCAGAGAGAGACAGAGAGAGAGAAAATGAGAGAAAGCAAGCCACCAGGTCCAGGACTTGAACTGTGGTTGGCCATGTGGGACTGTCCAGCGTCTTAACCACTGTACCACCTGCTGGTTTCCAAGAGGGGCACTCTTAAGAGGTCTCTGGCCCCAAGCCTAAGAAAAGGGTTAAAAGAGACCTACCTTGAAGAGAAAGTGGCCAACTGAAGAGAAGAAAGGACCCACAACAGACCTCTCAGGGAACAGGCAGAGAGGGTCTGAGGCCAGGCCCTGGTGCTGGGGGGTGGTGAGGAGGTGCCCCCAAGGCCAGAGCCAGGGTCCATGGCTCTTGGAGCATTTATTTATTCATTTATTTATGTAATTTATTTATTTAATTTTTGGGGAGAGGTTTTTGCTGTAGGGCATGTGTGCTTGCCAGAAAGACAGAGAGACAGCGAGAAATCACCCCCCGGGGGGATGGCCACGCCGCAATCCCTTCTCTTCCATTCTCCTCTCGGGATCTTGGGCACGCACACACACGCACCTGGTGTGAGTTTAAGCCACCAGGCCCGGGACTCGAACTGCAGTCAACTACGTGGGAGTCCAGCTACATAGCCATTATGCCAACTGCTGGTCTCTCTTTGAGCATTTTTATACTTTGAGAAATTAGCAGAGCCAGGGCTGGACCCTAGTCCTGGCTTATCTGGGCAAGGGTCCTATGGCACCCCCTGGAAGCTGGGGGGACAGAGCGGGTGCTCCAGGAAAGGGGTGCTCTTCACCCAGGAGCCCACACCACTAGCTCTGCTGATGAGCTGTGACCATCACCACCCATCCACCTCTGTGTCCCTGGGGCCTGGTGGGCCTCATCCCACCCTGGCTTTGGCTGTCATGGGGAACAGATGAGGAAGGACCTCAGGAGGCTCAGTCTTGACCCCACCTGCTGCTTGTCTCATAGAAACATGGCATCAGGTGGGTGGTCATCGGAGACGAGAACTATGGCGAGGGCTCAAGCCGGGAGCACGCAGCACTGGAGCCTCGCCACCTCGGGGGCCGAGCCATCATCACCAAAAGCTTTGCCAGGATCCATGGTGAGCTCCAGTGGTGCCCATCCCCCTCTGCCCATGCTGATAGCCCAAGGTCATGACCAGGCAGGCCAGTGCCAAGTGAGGCCTGGAGCTGGCTCCCATGCTCACCTCAGGTTGTCCTTGCCACACCCGCAGTTCCCGTCCCACAGAACTGGAGAGTAGATGTGGCCAAAGAGCTTTCCTCATTATGCATGTCTATGGAAGGCCTCAGGACGTTGGCCCCACATGCACTGGGTTAGGACGCCTGAACAGGGCCATCACTGGGGGGTGGGCAGAGCTGAGCCTCACGGTCCCTGCCCCAGGTTAGACTTAGGCAGCAAGACTAGGGTTGTCTAAATCCCACCAGGATTTAGAAAAGGCAGCTTGGGGCTGGTGCTGTTCCCTAGAGTGGGGAGGCCTTGTTCCTGTCAGCTGAGCCCATCTCTTCCTTCCAGAAACCAACCTGAAGAAGCAGGGCCTGCTGCCCCTCACCTTCGCTGACCCAGCTGACTACAACAAGATTCACCCCGTGGACAAGCTCACCATTCAGGGCCTGAAGGACTTTGCCCCTGGCAAGGTCAGGTACCAGGGATGCAGGGGCCCTCCTAAGGGGGTAGGGTAAGGGACAGCCCCACCAGCAGCTCCTTCTGTGAACCTCAGTTCCAGATGGAAGGGCCCTAAAATTACATAGGCAACCCCCAGAGAGGAAGGGAAATGCCTTCCCAGACTCCGGGAGGAGCCAGCCGAGGCCCTCCCACAGACTACACTGTACAGGCCAGCAGCCCACTCCAGCAGAATGCTTGGACCAGCCATCTCTGGGGCTGCCCAGCAGGCCAGGACTTGGCTTGCCTATGGGTCTTCAAGGCCTCAGGGCAATGCCTGCCCCTCCTGCAAACTGAGGGTTTCTCAGGGCACCCAGCACACCCACTCACACCTGCCTTCTCCCTGCAGCCCCTGAAATGTATCATAAAGCACCCCAATGGGACCCAGGAAACCATTCTCCTGAACCACACCTTCAACGAGACCCAGATTGAGTGGTTCCGTGCCGGCAGTGCCCTGAACAGGATGAAGGAGCTGCAGCAGTGAGGCTGCCATCAGACGCTGCTGCCCGTCACCCCAGCACTGGTATCGCCAAGTACAGCTCCACTCTGCGTCGTCAGCAGAGCCAGATCTGAGCCATCCAGCCATGGCTTCTTGCTCCAAGACGGTGTGACCAGGCACGCTTTCTGCCCACCCCCTCCTACGTCTACAGCGACCCAAGTTTGGGGGGGTTCTTAAGTAATTTCTCAGCCCCTGCCTTCCTGTTTTAGTTTGGTTCAGATCTGAGCAGCTCCATGCAACTGTATTTATTTTTGATGACAAGACTCCATCTACAGAAGTTTTCTCCTGCCTGATCATTTCACTGGTGGCTGAAGGATTTGAGAGAACCTTTTGTTCTTGCAAGGAAAATAAGAATCCAAATTCAGTGACTTCCTGTGTGAGTGGTTGTCTGTGCCCTCTGTCCTCAACAAAGCCAGGGGTCGGGATGGTGCTATTCAGCCAAGCACAGCCACAGCTGGAGCATGTCCCAAGCCACAACAGAAAACCTCCGTCTCTTCCCACCTGGTCCGGTGTTCTTGTAGCCTCCCTGGTAGGCAGGGACAGACGGCCTGGGCTGGAGCCTCCAGGAAAAGCCTTCATCCCCATCCCCTCACTCCCAGGTGCTGGGAGCAGGTACCTCCCTGGGAGCAACTGCCACAAGCACGGCCAGTGCCCCCGTGAGCCAAAAGGCCAGGCCAGGAGGGCCTGGCAACCACCCTACAGCACTGTGGAGTGGAGGCCATGGGGTCTGAGAGCCCAAAGCCTTTGCCTCATAGAAACATGGCATCAGATGGGTGGTCATCAGAGACGAGAACTACGGCGAGGGCTCGTGCCAGGAGCACACACTCTTCCTGGCTGGGAGCCTGTCTGGCTGAGTTCTCTCTCTGGCAGGAAGGCAGCTGCCCAGGACAGTCCAGCTCCATTAGCCCCCAGCAGCCCCCAGGGCCCAAGCAGCTAGGCCAGCCTCCCTCCCTGTTACTTATGGAGCCACAGAGACCAACCCACCCAAAGCCACCCTGAGGCAGCCTGCTCCCTCACAAATGACTCCCAAGCCCAGCCACATTGGGCTGGGGGAAGAGTACTTTGGAAGTGATGGGGATGAGGAAGGACAGGATGTGCTGTCCCAGGGGTGGCAACTCAGTGACCTTGCACCATGACCTTGACCATGAGACAAGGGTGGCCTCTTCCCTACTGATGTTGCCACTGTTTATTATGTGTCCTTACTGTCGTTGGAAGCCACAAGTCCATGGGGACGCAGGACTTCAAGAAAAGCTCCAGAGGGCGCAGGGCCAGGAAGCTGGGATGGGAGAAGCCAGCGTGCACTCCCAGGCTGCAGACTCTCCGCCGTCGGCCTCCGCTGCTGCAGGCACGGCCATCTGCACCACCTTCCGAGGTGGGGGTAGGGGCTGGGTTGGGCAGGGTCCAGTCACGCCCCGGGGCTAGCTGCTGGTCCACCAGGAGAGAAGGCCCAGGCCCGGCTCACTGATGGAGCCCTATGGGGCAGAGAAAGAAAGGCTCATCTCATTGCCTCTCACTGCTTCAGGGCACGAGCCAACTCAGGCAAGAGCTAGCGGGGACCCAGCTTTCTTGGCACCGTGTCAGCAGAGGGCAGGTGGGACTCAGGAAACCTAGGAGCCACCCAGCACTAAAGCATCCCTGGTTGGCAACATCGGGCCACAGTGCTGGCCCATCTCAGGCCCTCAGCAGATGCAAGTCTTCCTCACTCCCGGGTCTGCCCTAACAGGGTGCCCAGCAGGCCAGTCCAAGGCCTGCCTTCCTGAGCCAATGTAGTCCAGTCTGACCACAAAGGCCACGAGGCCCAGCATCCCAGGCTCACTCTGAGCATCACCTCTTTGGGGCCCTTTCCTTGCCTTCTGCCTCCCTCAAACCCCCCTCGGTGGCCTTTGCTCCTAGTGGGCCCCAGCGGCCTTGTCATCCAGCGTGGTCTCTGCCCCTCATCCCAGATTGTTTCTTCAAGTTCCAGGGATGAGGCAGGACATCTGTCCCAGCTGCAGCACCTCACAGCCAGGGCCTGCAGAACCAGGCTCTCAGAAAAGTGACCACCAAGGCCATACAACTGGGACCTGGGCCCTGGTCCTAAGGAGCCCCCTTCCCTCCCGCCATGGCTGGATCCTATCGCCACACTGAAGCTTTGGCAGCCTCACCAGGACCTACCACAAGTGTGTATGGAGCCTCCTTCTTTGGCAGCTCCTCGCTGGAAGAGGTGGCCTCAGCCGAGCTGGGCCCTGAGGGGGATGTGTCCACGAAGCTCTCATCTACCACTCGGAAGCGAATCTCCTCACCCGTGTCCATGTACAGGTCGTGTGCGCCCTCCTCCGTCTCATACTCCCACACCCACACCTGCTCTGCTTCATCGCTGTGGGGCCAGGGTCAAGGTCACAACCAGCCCCACTGAACACGGTGGCAGCACTCCCCCAGGAACCAGTCACAAGTTGTGGTCACTTTAAGCAGGTCCCAGGCCGATTTGCAAGGCCTGGGCCCCACAGTGAGCAGAATGCAGATTGGAAAAAATGGGGCCCCCAGCCCAGCACCAGGACACGCACATCCTCAGAAATAAGAGCAAGAGGTACCCCCTGTTTTGAGGTGCTACTCACAGTCCCTTACACCCATCCTATCCAAGTTTTGTGATGATCTAAAGGGCAGGTAGCTCAAGGACACTGTGGGATAGGAAGTCACCTGCCTGAGGGCCCACAGCTGGGGATAGGGCCAGAACCAACCCCTGTACTCTGCCACGCAGGAGAGCGAGGGCCAGCCCAACCACCATGGCAGAGCCTACCCTGAGGAGCACACTGCTGCCCTCTGCTGGCCTGATCCCTTACATGGCCCCAGGCTGAGGCCTGTTAGTACCACAATGACCATCCCAAGCAGCAAGGGAAGGCCTAGGATGGGGTCAGTGGAAGACCCAGGAGAGGAAAACGACCAAGCTCAGGACCAGGCACATAGGCACGGCCTCACTGCCAGGAGGTGGGGAGGTGGGCTGGCCAGGGCAAAGCTTCCGTGGAAGGATCTCAGGTGATCCTAGCAGGCTGCCGCAGCCCTCATGGTATGCAGCAAACAACCTGCACGCCTGAGACAGCGGCAAGAAACACAGGCAGGGTCATTGTGGAAGCGCAGGCAGGTCGGCACTTCTAGAGCAGGAGTGGATGCCAGTGTAGGTCACGGGACCCAAGGGCCATCCCACGGACTGGGGACCCTCCTCTGGAGAGGCCTGAGCACCTTCTTAACCTTGGGAGGATACAACTTGGCTGGCTGTTGCAGTGATTCCGGGGGGATGAGAATGTCATCGAAGAACCCTAGAGAGACTGGAAGAGATGAGGGAGGTGAGATGGCACAGGACAGTCTCAAACGACAAACATGGGGTCTACATACTTACAGACAAGCCCCTTACCCAGTGGCGTCCTAGGGCAGGAGGCCCAGCTGAGTCACTGCCTCGGTCTCAGCCTGTACCAGCCACACACCCTGGGCAGCTCCGGGCAGAGGCCCAGGTGCCTGGTCACTTGCCAGTCCTGAGGTGGACATGGTACACAACAGGGACTAGTGGGCCCTGGAGACCCCCAGGCACCCTGGCAACTACAGTGCCTACCCTGAGTACTGGTTTTCAGCCTTGCAGTGAAACTTCCTGCCTAAGGTCCTCACTAGACATATAAGAACAGGTGCTGGGCCCTGCCTGCGTCAGTCCTGGAAGACGAGTGAGCTTCCAACACCAGGGCAAGACCACCTGCCCAAAACACGCCCACGCCTCAACGGAGGGCCAAATGCCCTTGCCGTGCACCCCGTCCACCTGCCACAGCCCACACCCAAGCTCAGCAGAGGGCCAGCCGCCCTTACCGTGCACTCCTTCGGGGCTGCAGCCTCTGATCTTCCCGATCAGAATCTCGTCCAGGAATGGATGGAACACCACGTAGCGAAAATGGACTGTAAGGACAAAAGTATGTCTGTAAGGAGCTAGGATGAAGGCTGGAGCTGAGACCAGGCCGCCATGCGCCCACTGTCAACCTAGCATGCTACCGGAGGCCTCCCTGCCAAGTGCCCTGCAGACCCAGACCTGTCCCAAACCAGGCTACAGCTTGGCTTCCCTTGAGCGGAGGGCTGGCTCCTAAATCTGTCGCACCTGAGCCCAGACTCTGGCCATCAGTGATGCCAAGGTCAATGCCAACCTTCCTCTAGGGTCTGTCTTTTAAATTCTAAAAAGGACAGATACCATCAGCAAGGGGAGCTAGGTTTAGAAGCAAGCTCCCCGTCTGCACTGATTGGCAAAGCTGGCCCCGGGCACAGCTCTGACCTGGAACAAGATGCTGAGCGTACCCTGAGAAGGGGGAAGGGCGATGAGGCAATAGCCCCCCTGAAATACCTCGGTGGGGTCCTAGGCCCTGCCCTAGACAGTCCCCGCTCACCTGACCACAGATAGGGTCTGTACCCATATCACAGGCCCTGGGAGAAGACATGTGCGTCACTCATTCTCCCCCCTGACTGAAGCCCCACGAGTGCATCCACTACGGGCCGGAAAGCAAAACCAGGCCGCCCCAGTCATCGGCTGACTGCCCATCATGGCCCACCTGTGCCAGCTGTCCTGCCCCCTCCATGAGGAGGAGGAAGCAGTTCAGAGAGCTTGGGTAACCTGCTCACTGCCACGTTGTGTTCCACCCCAATTCTGCCACAGGAGACACCAAGTCATTTTTCTGAACCAACCAGACGGGCACGGATTGAATCCTGCCTTGTCCAGACAGGCTCCATCCCCAAACACAGGCCCCACCACGCTCCTGGTCACTGGCCTGCCGGCATCACCCCAGGACAGCAGGGCTGCTGCTCCCAACTGCTTCTCCAGGGCTCCTCGGGTAAAAGGGATGAGGAAAGGAGGGGCTCACACCCCTCTCTCCATGCTGCTAGTGAGCAGAGGGCGGCCAAGGGTCACTTGCCTACAGGGTGGAAAAACCCTGTCCCCCACATGACTGGTTGAGTTCAGCTGCATAAATCCTCCCAGAGCTCCAGCAGCTTTGTGACGTGCCTGCCATGTGATCCAATGCCGCGGGAGCTCCAGCCTGGAACCACCACGTCCAAAGCCAACGGTGAGCGGCCTACTGCCCGCCGACAGACGGAGATAAACACGACGTGGTGTGCAGCTATGATGAAATATGAGCCAGCCTCCGAAAGGGGATTCTGACAGGCCACAGCATGGCTGAATCTTAGGGACATTAGGCCAAGTGAAAGAAGCCAGCCACAAAAGGCCACGTACTATACGATTATTTACATGGAAAGTCCAGAACAGGCAAATGCACAGGGACAGAAAGCAGACAGGTGGTCAGCGGCTGGGTTCAGGGGAGGATGAGGGCCGACGGATGGGAAGTGTGCTTTCTCACTGGGCTGTGAAACACATTCTGCAGTTAGATAAAGGTGACAGTTGTGCAACAGCGGGCAGACTGAAGGCCACTACATCATTTGTGCCTGTAGCATAGCAGCTGGGCACTAACCAGGGTTCAAGTCCCAGCCCTATCTGCTTGAAAAACACACTGCATGCTGGCAATCCCAGGACCCTGATGGATGGAGAGCTAGAGGAAGAAAGACTGCAGTGCGACCAGGCCCTGCTGGGGATTGCTTTCTCACTTTCTCTCCCGCTTGCACATGCACCTTTGGCTTTAAAAAATAAAGATGGGACCAGCAGATAGTGTAACAGTTACGTCACTAGACTCCCAAGTAGTCAACCATGGTTGAGTTCCAGACATAATGGCTTAAAACTCACACTGGGGAGACCAGCAGTTAGCGTAATAGCTATGTCGCTGAACTCCCATGTAGTCGACCGCAGTTCTAGTCTCAGACCCGGTAGCTTAAACTCATGCTGGGCACATGTGGGTGCATGCCCAAGATCCTGAGAGGAGGATGGAGGAGAAGGGATTGTGGGGTGGCCATCCCCCCTGGAGGGTAATTTCTCACTTTCTATCTCTCTGTCTCTCGCTGTCTTTCTGGGAAGCGCACGCGCCCTATAGCAAAAACCTCTCCAAAAAAAACAAACTCATGCTGGGTTGGGGCCAGCAGGTGGCATGGTGGATAAGGGCGCTGAACTCCCACATAACTGACCATGGTTCGAGTCTTGGACCTGGAGGCTTGCTTTCTCACTTTCCTTCTCTCTTACTTTCTCTCTCTGTGTCTTTCTGGTCAAGTTAAAAAATAAAATGAATGAATAAATAAAAATAAATAATTATTTTTAAAAATAAATATAACTTAAATTAAATTAAAAACAAGGTGGACCAGCAGATGGCATAATGGTTACATCACCAGAGTCCCACATGTGGTTTGAGTCCTGGACCCAGAGGCTTGAAACTCGCGCCAGGGACGTGTAAGTGTGTCCCCAAGATCCCCAGAGGAGAATGGAGAAAAAGGGACTGCAGTGTGCCCATCTCCCCTGCGGGTGATTTCTCGCTTTCTGTTTCTCTCTCTCTCTCCCTCCAGCAAGCACACACACCTTATAGCAAAACTCTCTCTTAAAAAAAAGGGGACCAGCAGGTTGTATGGTAGCTAAGGTACTGAACTCCCACATGGCTGACTCCAGTCCTAGTCTCAGACCTGGTGGCTTGCTTTCTCACTTCCCTCTCTCTCTCTGGTGTCCTATAGCAAATTTAAAAATAATAAATAAGGGGTCAGCAGGTGGCGTGGTGGTTAAGAGCACTGGACTCCCACATAGCCAACTGCAGTTCAAGTCCCAGACCAAGCAGCTTGTTTTCTCACTCCTCCCCACTCTGTCGCTCTCTGGTCAAATTAAAATACATAAATAAATAAATAAAGTTGAATAAAATAATTCTTTAAAAATGGGGGGTCTGGCACCAGCAGTTAACGTAATGGCTATATCGCTGGACTCCCATGTAGTTGACCGTGGTTCGAGTCCTGGACCCGGTGGCTTAAATTCACACCGGGTGTGTGTGCGTGCGTGCCCAAGATCCCGAGAGGAGAATGGAGGAGAAGGGATTGCGGCATGGCCATCCCCCAAAATGAATGAATAAATAAAAATAAATAATTATTTTTAAAAATAAATATAACTTAAATTAAATTAAAAACAAGGTGGACCAGCAGATGGCATAATGGTTACATCACCAGAGTCCCACATGTGGTTTGAGTCCTGGACCCAGAGGCTTGAAACTCGCGCCAGGGACGTGTAAGTGTGTCCCCAAGATCCCCAGAGGAGAATGGAGAAAAAGGGACTGCAGTGTGCCCATCTCCCCTGCGGGTGATTTCTCGCTTTCTGTTTCTCTCTCTCTCTCCCTCCAGCAAGCACACACACCTTATAGCAAAACTCTCTCTTAAAAAAAAGGGGACCAGCAGGTTGTATGGTAGCTAAGGTACTGAACTCCCACATGGCTGACTCCAGTCCTAGTCTCAGACCTGGTGGCTTGCTTTCTCACTTCCCTCTCTCTCTCTGGTGTCCTATAGCAAATTTAAAAATAATAAATAAGGGGTCAGCAGGTGGCGTGGTGGTTAAGAGCACTGGACTCCCACATAGCCAACTGCAGTTCAAGTCCCAGACCAAGCAGCTTGTTTTCTCACTCCTCCCCACTCTGTCGCTCTCTGGTCAAATTAAAATACATAAATAAATAAATAAAGTTGAATAAAATAATTCTTTAAAAATGGGGGGTCTGGCACCAGCAGTTAACGTAATGGCTATATCGCTGGACTCCCATGTAGTTGACCGTGGTTCGAGTCCTGGACCCGGGAGCTTAAATTCACACCGGGTGTGTGTGCGTGCGTGCCCAAGATCCCGAGAGGAGAATGGAGGAGAAGGGATTGCGGCATGGCCATCCCCCCTGGGGGGTGATTTCTCGCTTTGTGTGTCTCTGTCTCTCTCTGTCTTTCTGGCAAGTACACGCGCCCTATAGCAAAAACCTCTCAAAAAAAAAAAAAGGGGGGTGGGGGTATCAGCAGATGGCATTTGTGGTTAAGGGCTCTGGACTCCTACAGGGCCGACCACGGTTCATGTGCCAGACCTGGTGGCTTGCTTTCTCACTTCCCCCAACTCTGTCCCCTTTCTGGTCAAATTAAAAATAAATAAAGTTACATAAAATAATTCTTTTTTAAAAAATTAAATAAATAAATAGAGGCTAGCAGGTGGTCGTTAAGGGCGCTGGACTCCCATATGGCTGACTGTGGTTTGAGTCCTGAACCTGGTGGCTTGCTTTCTCACTCCTCCCCACTCTGGCCCTCTCTGATAACATTAAAAATAAATAAAGTTAACGTTGCTGGACCCCATGTACTTGACCATGGTTCCAGTCCCGGACCCGGTGGCTTAAAACTCACGCCGGGTGCGTGTGTGTGCATGACCAAGATCCCGAGAGGAGAACGGAGGAGAAGGGATTGCGGTGTGGCCATCCCCACTGGGGGGTGATTTCTTGCTTTCTGTCTCTCTGTCTCTCTCTGTCTGGCGAGCGCACGCACCCTATAGCAAAAACCTCGAAATAAATAAATAAAGTTAAATAAAGTAATTCTTTTAATTAAATAAATAAATAAATAAAATTAAGAAATTCTTTAAAAAACAACAGGGGCCAGCAAATGACAAAACGGTTATGTCATTGAATTCCCATGTGGTCGACTGCAGTTTGAGTCCTGGATCTAGTGACTTAAACTCACACCAGGCACATGTGCTTGCATGCCCAAGATCCCAAGAGAAGAATGGAGGAAAAGGGATTGCAGCATAGCCATTCCCCCTGGGGGGTGATTTCCCACTTTCTGTCTTTCTGGTGAGCACATGTGCCCTATAGCAAAAACTGGTTCAAAAAAAAATTCTGGGGAGTAAAAGACTACTTGTATTCAATGATAATTATGGTCTCTATATTATTATCATGAAATGGTACAGATGAAAAATAGCAACACATTCTGAACTAAAACCTGGAATTTTTTCCTTAATTGTATTGATTGTTATTAAGTTTTAATTTGACTAGAGAGAGACAGAAAGTGAAGGTGAGAAAGCAAGCTGTCCAGTCTGGGATTGAACCCCATTAGCCAGGTGGGAGTCCAGTGCCTTAACCACACCACCTGCTGGTCCCTAAATCTAGATTTTTAACAAATTACATTTAAGCTGAACTAGCACAGTGGTCTTCAGCAACCTAGTTCTTAATCACCAACTGCAGTTAGAGTCCCGGACCTGATGGCTTGCTTTCTTACTTTTCCTCTCTCTCTCTCTTTCTCTCAGGTCAAATTAAAAATAAATGAATAATTATTTAAAAAACAATAACAACCACAAAGATGGGACATAGCATGAATGACCTGGTGCTCTGAGCCCTCTCTAAGGACGTGCTGGCCCACAGTCCTGGGCAGGTCACTGCAGTTGGCCTCAAAGCAAGGCAACTGACCCCACTACAAAACAACCAGTGCAGGACCAGCAGCTGGCATAATGGCTATGTCACTGGACTCCCATGTAGTCGACCGCAGTTCAAGTCCTGGACCCGGTGGCTTAAACTCATGTCAGGTGCATGTGCATGCATGCCCAAGATCCTGAGAGGAGAATGGAGGAAAAGGGACTGAGGTGTGGCCTTTGCTCCAGGGAGTGATTTCTCACTTTCTGTTTCTGTCTTTCTGGTGAGCACATGCACCCTATAGCAAAAACCTCTCAAAAACAAACAAAACCAACCAGTGCTGCACGGTACTCAAAGGGCCATGAGGGCCTCTCTTGCTCCAAGTGTTAACCCCACTGTGTAGTGAGGAAGCTGAGGCCGAGAGGGTAGCGTCACCTGCCCAGAGTCCCTACCCAGGGGTCAGAGTCAGCACGCAAAACCCAGGGCTCCATGCCTCACATTTCATTCCCCAAAAGAACAGCCACCCAGGTGGAAGGAGGGTGGGAGCCCATCAAAAAACGACAGTGGAAATCTTACGCCAAGTGCCAGAAACATCCAACTGGATGGACAGAATTTCTTCAAACTTGACTCTTTTTCCTCCCAATTTTTCTCAACATTCTGGTACCGAGGACCACAGCTTGCTAGACAGCGGAGGGCCCTGTCAAATGCAGAGGCTGGGCTCAGCCTGGCACCCTTGTCAGCTAACGGAGACAAGCCATGGTCTTCCTTTCCCGCTGAGGAAGGTGCTCCTGGTCAGTACGAGGAGGCCTGCTCCTCAGGGATCATGCAGAGCATGGAGTGTCCCGGGAACGATCCAGTCTCTGCGGGCTGGACACACACCAGGTGGTCTCATGGCACATTCTGGAATGCCTGACATCTCCGTGGTGAGTGGGTGACCCACACAGACTGAGGCAGGGTTTGTGAGAACCCCCTGGCATTTTTAAAAAATTATTTATTTAACTTGATTAATATTATTTTTTAATTTGACCAGAGAGAGAAAAGAGAGCAAGAGGGAGATGGGAGAAGAGAGAGGGAGAGTGATAAAGCAAGCCACCAGGTCTAGCACTCAAACCAAGGTCAGCCATGTGGGAGTCCAGCACTTCAACCACCACCACGTGCCGGCCCCAACCGGGGCACTTTTTAAAAACCAAGTATTTGGGTCTGGTCCCTGGGATTCTGACCCAGTAGCCTGGAGCTGGCTGGGAAGCTGTGTTACATTCTTTTTTTAAATTTTTTTTAAGAGGCTTTTGTCTCAGGGTGCGTGCACTAGCCAGAGAGAGAGAGAAAAAAAACAATGAGAGGGAAAGTGAGAAATCACCCCACAGAGGGGATGGCCGTTCCACAATCCCTTCTCCTCCATTCTCCTCTTGGGTTCTTGGGCACACACACACACACGCCCAGCATGAGTTTCACATCACAGGGTCCAGGACTCAAACCATGGTTGGTCACATGGGAGTCCTGCAACATCACCACTATCTGCTGGCTCCAAGGCACCTGTGTTTCTAACAAGTGCCCGGGTAATGCCCAAGGCGACATGGCTACACTCCGAGGAGCCCTGATCTGGCTCTGTCTCCCTGTACTTCAGATGTGGCCCAGCTGGTCTCTCTATGGGGGCCTCTCTCCAGCCCTCCCCTCTTCCAGGATCAGGTAACCAGTCACCAACCCTGACCCACAGCCCTTTCAGCTCAACCACAGTTAAGTCCATCCCTCCGTCTTCTGACCCTGAGCCTTGCCATGTGCCCTGCTTGGGATGAAGCTTGGCCGAGGGGATCTAAGCAGGCAGAGGTCTGAGAGCTGAGCGACGGACCCTGGAAACTGCCAGCCCCATCGGCCTGCTGTGAGATGAGACACACGAAGCAGATGAGCCAGCCTAGCTCAGGGCCCCTGGCTAGCCCGTCTGCCAGCCACCAGAACGGGAGGCGATCCTATACTGTCCAGCCCCAGCCAAGCCAGCTCCGGAGAACCAACAGACCACAGGACTAGGAGAAACAGCCCACTCCAAGAGCCCCGAGCACTCCCCAGGTGCCAAGATCCTGTCCTAAGAGCATGACAGGTATTAACTCTTGAATCCTCACCACAGTCCTGAAATATAATAAAATCTGTTAGCTGCATTTTACAGGTGAGAAAACAGGTTACTTTTTTTTTTTAATTGCCAGAGGGCATGTGTGCTCATCAGGAAGAGAGGCACACGAAGCAAGGGGTAGGGGTTCGCCGTCAGGATTTTAGGCATGTTCGCACTTGTGCCCAGCATGTTTTTCAAGCTGTCATGACTGGAATTTGAAATTTGGTTAGCCATGTGGGATCCAGCTCCCTACACACAGTGCTTAACCATTGTGCTATGAGGCCAGCCCAAGAAGTCACTCAGGACACACAGCTAGTAAGAGCTGGGAACTGAATACAGAGGCTACACTTCTTTTTTCTTTTTTTTTTTTAAAGATTTATTTATTTTTTTATTCATTTCAATTTGACCAGAGAGAGACACACACAGAGAGAGAGGAAAGTGAGAAGGGAAGCCACCAGGTCCAGGACTCGAACCATTGTCGGCTATGTGGGAGTGTCCAGCGCCTTAACCATCACACCACCTGCTAGTCCCACAGAGGCTACACTTCTAATTGTTCCCTCCTGCCCCTTAAATCCACCGCCTCTCTGCTCTTCACACCTCAGACCCAGCAATGGCAGCCACACAGTGTTCTCCTGTCTGACCTGTCCTCTTCCCTTCCGAGGTCCAAGCACATAGCAGGGCCCAGGAGTGGATGAGAACAACAGGCGGTGTGGAGCCACCCTCTCTGAGCTGCAGGGGCCTTGAATCACCTAGTCCACCTCCCCAACCCCTGGGGTCTCATGGATGTAGAAACTGAGGCTCAAAGAGGGGAAAGGTCTACCCATTGTCAGTGAGTCAATTTTTGGCAGAGCTGAAACTAGGACCCTGGTCTCCCAAGCCCCAGACCAAGACTCCTGCCAGACCTCTCTCAGCCATCTCTGCATCTTGTCCTCCCTTGAGCTCTGAGGAAGCTCAAAGCCCCGAGAAAATACACACCTTTTGTGTGTGATGCACCGTCCCCCGGGAACACGTAGGCGTCCTCCAGTTTGGTGATGTCGAACAGGCAGATGCAGAGTCCCACGCTGTACACAACCTGTATGCACACACGGACACGCACACTCATACACGGTGATCCCTGGGCCAGCTCCCAGGCAGTCCCTCCTGACCCTCACAACCACAGCAAGCTGCGATTATCCCTTTTCAGACAAAGACTGGGAAGGAACCTCAGAAGGGGGTGGGGCTCTGGAAGGAGTGGGTGGTGGTGAAAAGAACAGATGCAGGTTCTAAGGGCAGCTCCACCACTGTATGGTCACCTAGGGGGTCATTTCAACTCTTTGAGCCTCAGTTTCCCCATCTGCAAAAAGGAAATACCAGGCTGCAGGGTTGTTGAATAGAGAGATCATGAATGGAATGCCCCATCCTAGTGCCAGACTCACAATCTAGAAATAGTCAATCAAGAATGATGTGTCTTTTTTTTTGGGGGGGGTGGGGTGGGTATTTTTGCTATAGGGCGCATGCACTCACCAGAAAGACAGAGAGACAAAGTGAGACGGAGAGATGGAAAGCAAGAAATCACACCCCACAGGAGATGGCCCCGCTGCAATCCCTTCTCCTCCATTCTCTTCCTGGGATCTTGGGCACGCACGCACAAGCGCCCAGCATGAGTTTAAGCCACGGGGTCCTGGACTCGAACTGCGGTTGACTACATGGGAGTCCAGTGACATAGCCATTACACTAACTGCTGGTCCCAAGAATGATGATTATTACACATGAGGGTCAGAGAGCGTCAGAACTACAGCTAAACTCCATTATGCTTTCAACCAACATTTCAGACACACAGATGTGGTCTCGGTAATGCAGCTGGCAGAGCGAAGCATGGCCACAGCAGGCAAAAATCCCGTGCCACAGTGTTCCAAACTACTGGCCACTTGTCTGCTTGTCTGCCACCAAGGTTGCCATCCCCCAGTTGCAGCCCCTGCAGGAACCACTAAAGGAAAAGCAAGAGGCTCAGAGAGCGCAGAATGGCAGCTGGACCTCACGGGGGGTGAGGCCACAGAATGCAGACGGCTTTGGGGGCACACGGCTTTGGAGGCACATGGAAG